AGAAGGAGGGAGGGTGCAGATTGGTCCCACATAGGACCCTCCCTTTTGTAAGGCAGTTGTTGTCAGATGCCAGAGGAGTTGCTGTCATTTGCTGCCTCAGGGTGGTCACAGAAGAACCAGGGACAGACCCACACCCTCCCGCCCCCCCATTCCTACTTATCTCCCTGTGGCTTGGGAGTGTTCATGGATGAGAGGCTGGATGTGTCCCGGCCATGTGTGCTGCCACTGAGACCCCCATGCCCTGGGTTGATCCCACAGCGTGGGCAGCAGGGGAGGGGGGATTCTACTCCTCTGCCCCATAGGTGAGACCCCACCTGCAGACCCCACCTGCTGTCCATCAGCAGAAGGACATGGAGCTGCTGGAGAGAGTCCAGAGGAGGCCATGGAGATGCTCCAAGGGCTGGAGCCCCTCTGCTCTGGAGCCAGGCTGGGAGAGCTGGGGGGGTTCACCTGGAGAAGAGAAGGCTCCAGGGAGACCTGAGAGCCCCTTCCAGTGCCTAAAGGGGCTCCAGGAGAGCTGGAGATGGACTTGGGACAAGGGCTTGAAGGGACAGAACAAGGGGAATGGCTTCCCACTGGCAGAGGGCAGGGTCAGATGGGATATTGGGAAGAAATTCCTGGCTGTGAGGGTGGTGAGGCCCTGACACATGCTGTCCAGAGGAGCTGTGGCTGCCCCATCCCTGGCAGGGATGGTGGAACTAAATGGTCTTTAAGGTCTCTTCCAACCCAAATCATTCTAAGATTCTACCAATTTACCATCACCAGTAAAAGAGGCAAAGCTGGTGCCTTCCTCCAACTTCTCCAGATGATGCTGCTGCAAAGGAGGCATGAGAAAAATGATAGCAAAGCTCTTTCTTTTAGCAGGGTAGCACTAAAGCCAGCCATTTCCCTCCTTTGTTCCTGCCCCTCTTCCTCCTGTCACACCCAAGCCAGTATCCTGCAGGTTGCTGGGCTGAGATGTGGGGTGGGATCAGGAGAGAGATGTTGCTGGAGAGGGGCAGGTATCCATGGGGGAAGAGGTGAAGGTTCTTGGGTTGCTGCAGATTGCCAATGAGATTTTGAAAGCTTTATATTTGTTCTTTCATTAAAATTTGATGTAAGTGGGTCTGGGGCAGCAGAGAGGCAGCTGCCAGCTTTCTGGATTCCCACAGGCAGGTGGACGGGGATGGAGGTTGGACAGACACCTTCATAAGGAAGGTAAAGCACAAAAATGGTGCACATGGGCTTCAGACCCGCTCCCTCTGACCTCTGTTTTCAGCAATTCCAGTAGGTGACAGAGTTCCCTTGGTGTGTGCTAGCTGGCCATGTGACAGTCACCTAAGCTTGCCAAGTATCACCTTATCCAAGAGTTACTTTCCCCAGAAAATCTAACAATGTGTATGCACGTCACAACATAGCTATCTCTTGAAAACAGGCCCAGGGAGCAGACCATTCCTGAACAACCCTTCTTTTCCAGAGCTTTTGGCCTTTCTTGCTGGAGCATGTATGTTTATGATTTAAATTGGAACGTACGTGCATTAGAAGTCTCATGGGCATCTCAGGTTCTGCTCCAAGCTTCCCACCATGTAAACCACAAAGTGTTTAGCTCCAAAGTTGAAAATTACCCCTGTTAGCAATCCTTCCTGTGACCGTGGGCTGCTTGTGCTTTGCTTTTCCCACACCCCTCACTTCCAGAACAAGCAGCTCTGAAATATTGGTTTGTTACCTTCTCCAGCCACCTGCAAATAAATACCGAAACAAAACCCATGTGGAAAGGAGACCAAGTGCGATTTTGCTGCCCACTGAGGAGTTGCAAACCTGCCTCTGAAAACCATGAGCACCTGAGTTTGATGGTGCCTGTTGCCCAGGCAGGAGCAAAAACCGTCCCTCTTGTGTGGGTCTTCTCACAGACTCATTGCAGAGCAGAGGGTTGTTTTCTCCCTTGTGAGACATTTCATTTCGGAAATGTTCAGAGATTTTGGCTTTAAAAGGAGTATGTCTGCTGAAAGGTGCATTTCAGATCCACATTGTCCTCAGTGAGCTGGCTCTACTGAAGGCACTTCCACTGCTGTCCTGCACAACCCATGGTGGGGAACAGCCTCGAGACAAGAGCCAAAGCTCTCACTGTTCCCTTGAGATTCAGGCCTGTCCCCACCCACCCATCACCTTTGGTCTTCTCTGGCCACTCTACCCTCCTTACAAGTTGCTGATATTTCCTTTTACATCAGCTCGCTGCACAAAAAAAGTCAACTTTTCTGCCTTCCAAATTTAGCTCTGTTTAGGCACCAAAATAGACAAGAGTAGGGATCGGTGACTGTTTTTTTCCAAAACATTGTCTCATGACTAGGACTAAGGAAGGGAACTGCTCGGCAGGAGAAGGGAGACATTTGGTTTTCCTAACGGGGACACGAAGTTCTCCCGTGTTCAGGCACTGGCAGTGTCCAGGAGTGCTCCTTGGATTAGGAGCTTATTCCCATGTAATTAATTCGTCTTTCATCCCATTGGCGTCAGCTGCTGGTAGGTCGAGGTCTGAGGAAGCACAGGGAATCTCTGCAAGGAGGACATGTGGGAATGCACCACTGTACATATGGTTTCTAGTTGGAAAGAGCAGAGACTTTAATGAGGGCTTCGGAAATTGGTCCTTGTGTTATGCGGAGATAGTTTCATTTTTCCAAGGTAATTGTATTTGCACGTGTGTCTGCAGTGAAGCTTAAATTCTTAAAAACGCCCCAAGCTTTAGCCTCCTGTGGTAATACAGCATTAGAAACAGCCTCGCTGATTATTGCACTATTTTTAGCCTCATTTCCTAAACTATGTGGCTGATGTGTTTGGGCTGTGTGTGTCTCCTCCTTCCCTTCCTTTTCTCGTTGAGTTTGGTATCCATTGGCCAATTCCAAGTAATTTTTTACAGGAACCGAGGTCTTGGTGATATTAAGCCCCTCCTGTGCATTCAGTGAAAATGAATGATTGGGAAAATAAGTGGTGAGGAAGACTCAAACCACAGCCCTCAGTAATAAAGGTTCAATATAAGCAACCTGGTCTTGTGGAAGTTCTCCTTGCCCGTGGCGGGGGGGTTGGGACTGCGTGATCTTTAATGTTCCTTCCAACCCAAACCATTCTAGGGTTCTGCGATTCTAAGCTATTATAGAATCCTAGAATATCCTGACTTGGAAGGGACCCACAAGGATCATCAGGTCCAGCTCCTGGCCCTGCACAGGGCAGTCCCAACCATCCCACCATGTGCTTCACCACTAGACCCTTCACCATTGTCGTAGCCCTCCTTTGGACATTTTCTAATAGCTTTGTATTTTGGCTTGGTGAGTTCTGTATTGGCTTGAAGTCTTGAGGAGCAAAGGCATCCAAAGGGGAAGGCTCCAGCTGCCATGGGAGCTGTAGGGTTGTTGCAATGGCAGTTTCTCCTGGCTTTTTGCAGATGGTCAGGATGGATGGTCACAGTTAACCCTGATGGTCTTTGGCTCAGTGGTGCCTCTCAGGCCTGCATGCCTAAATTCATTGTCATCCCCAGCAACCTCTCTCCTCCAGTTACGTCTTCCACCAGAGAAACTCAAAATATTATTATCTCAGTAACCACTACAAAAATGAACTGTAATTTTTAAAGGCTCTTCGTGCGAAGAGAGAGGGACTTTTTTTTGAAGTCGGTGTGTTATGTTGTCATGCCAATGTCACAAAGCCGCTGTTCAATGAGACACATCCCCACCCAGCCCTTGCCCTTGCCCAGGCTGCTCCCTCATGGCCCCTCATGTGTGGTGATTCACCAGCAGCGGCTGGAGCTCCAGGCCGAGATAGATTGCGATGGAAATAAAAGGAGCGACTTTTACAGGGCTTTTATTGCCAGCTGGGGAAGTACAATACTGCATAAATAAAATTCATTATGGTTATGACAGCTCTGTGGTCCCTGGAAAATAAATAACACTTTGCACTTATGCAGGGCCTTTCATCCAGGAACCTCTGAGCTCTTCACGAGCATTAACAAAGCCTTGTCATGCCCATAGTAGGATGGCAAATACAGCATCCCACTTATCAGATGAACATACCACGTCAGAGTCGGCACCTTCAGTGGAAAGAGGACGCTGGAAAGACAGCAGCTGGAGTTACACACAGCTCTTCCACTGCCTTGGCTTAGAATCAGAATCCTAGAATGGCTTGTATTGGAAGGGGCCTTAAAGATCATCTTGTTCCAACCCCCTGCCATGGGCAGGGACACCTTCCACTAGACCAGGTTATTCAGAGGCCCCTCTAGTCTTGCCTTGAACAATTCCAGGGATAGGAAGTCCACAACCTCTCTGGGCAACCTGTGCCAGGGCCTCACCACCCTTATAGTGAAGAATTTCTTCCTAATTCCTAGTAAAGAATTTCTTCCTACTATCTAATCTAAATCTGTCTTCCTTCAGCTTGGGCTTGGGCACATCATTTAACACATCCTTGTCATCTCAGTTTTTTCCAGTAGGATGTATGCCACCTGTCCTTTCCATGGAATTGACTTGTTCATGGTGGGCAGGCTCAGCAAGGTGCTCGTGTTGTGGTTGTTCCCTTCCTAACAGCACAAGAGCACAGACCTGCCAGCTGTGTCATCAAAAGGATACTGAGACACACATTTTTACAGCTGGGTTTTGGATAAATATACGAAGGAAACAGCCAAGGGAAAGTGGGTGGCTTGGGTGGACCAGAGTTGTGTGTAAAGTAGGTGAATTCCCTGTCAATGGTGTATACTTGGATTTGTACAGGCATGATCCAGTTATTTGCCCCATGTGGTTTCTCCCACGCAGAAACTGCAGGTGACTTCATTCCCTGCTCTTTGAGGGCCCTGAGAGGGTACAACAAGTCTGGGTTTTCCAGACCCGCTTTTGTATGGGCTGGGATTTTGTAAGGATGTTTGGATGGGAACCGTTCCTTTTACCACGCTCACATGTGGGTGCACAGCTCTGTCCCACTCCGACACCTTCCATGCCGATGCCTCCTGTCTCTTGGAGCTGATTGCTGCTTTTCCCTCTGTTTTGCAGGGTTACCATCCGTTGCCTCATGAAGCTGAAATCGCACACACCAAAAAGCTGTTCAGAAGGAGGAGAAACGACCGGAGGTAGGTGAAAACTCTTTCATGTTTTTTTTAATCTTTTCTTCCTCGCGCACCTTCCTCCACTGTCTCATGGACTGTCTTGAGACAGGGCTGCTGTTGAGCAGTTGTCAGCACTGGATTAATATATAAACCCTTATTTGAGCACTGACATCCTGAAAATACAGTCTATCCATCCCTCTGGTTTGTCTTTTAAATCTGGAATGTGTCCTATATTGCTCCAGGAGTATCTTGAGGACCTTCTCTTCCCCTTGTAATTATTCCAACATAGCCAGATCTCCTCACTTGTAAGAGGCATCTGGCAAGTTATTATCTGTTAAAGCTTGAGTCCTGGGGCTTTGCTTTCTCTTTTTTCTATTGAAAAGCAAAATTTGTTGACTTTCAGGGTCACCTGAAAAGTGGGTATGGTTTGGTTAAGAGGGGATTGCAGTGAGCCTCATGTGTCTGTCTGTGGGAAGGAGGGGATGTGCTAAACAGGCAGCTGAATTCCTTTGGCATTGGCGATTTCAATCCATTGAGTTAATTTAATAGGGTCCATTGGATATTTAATTGTGTAAAATGCGTATTTAATTATTGGAGGGCATCTAGAGTCCTTGATATGCATCGTGACTATGGTTAAATGTGAAAATAAGCAAGGAATGAGGGAGGTAGTTACTACGTGTAGCTTTATTTCTGCTGACTTTTTCTGCTGTGGCTGAGACAACACATCCAGGGTAACAAAGCATTTCTAAAACCAGGAGTTTGTTTGCAAGGTGATTCAACAGGAGGAGAAGTGGCCAACGTTTTCTCTGAGAATGAAATCTGTACCTGAGCTGTCACAAGGGGGGATTTTCGGTGAAGTCCTACAGATACCTAACAGCAGTTGGAGCGTGTCCTCAGATCACCCTATGGCTTCTCGGAGCAGCCATGGTGCAGTTAACCCTATGCATGGTTTGGTTTTCCCAAATTTTACCAAGTGACCAAAAAAACCAGCTGAATAGAGTTTTCTTAAGCATAGTAGAAACATTCCTCTGTGGGGCAGGGCGGTTCACGAGCAGCAGTTTTTCCTCTTCTCTTTGGGGCTACCTCCTTTCCTCTTGTACGCAATTTAAAAGACAATTTAGTCTTGTGATTTAGGGGGGGAGTGGGAAAGGTCTCATTTCGTCTGGGTTGCAGCCTTGTGATCACCAAAACGTGGTTAAAATCAAATTGAAGTCTGCTGTGTTGCAAGAGTTGGTTTACTTGAAGCACTGGGCTGGGCTCCCTGAAAATCACAGTGGAGGTTGGAGCATCCTGCTCCCATCTCACCTCACTAGGTGGGTCTTCCTCTGCCATCCAAAGAGTGCATGATGCTTTGGGAGAGGAGACCTTCAGAGCCACGTGGTCTCCTGCCTGAAGTCCCATGACCAAAGCTGCAATGAACCATGGAACTGCGTGTTGGTTCTTCCCTCCCATCTGAAAAAACCAGCCACTTGGAGGGATCACTCCAGGTGTGCACTTCTTCTTTCTGGTCCCTTCAGATAAACCATCAGGAGACAAAAGCATTTAGCCCCTCAGGGCCTCCCTGCCTCTTACACAGATGTTAATGAGGGATAGCAAAAGAAACTGCCTTGGGCTGGGGTTGGAAGATCACGGGGTGAGATACAGCCCAGACCGGGTAGCACTGGGATAATATCCCGGGATGAGAGGAAAAAGGCCCTAAAACCCGACTGATCCAGCATCATTCTGGAGGAGACATGGGGTCATTTCAGCCCTAAGCAGTCACAAATGAAATAAAATGGAAAGAACATGCAGTCCTGCAGGAGTAGTCAATGCTTAGACAGAAAAACATATTTATTTTAATTCCAAAATGGTAAGAAGCCTGTGTAGAGGAAGCTGGAGTGAAAAAGCAGTCTTTAAATAATTATTTGAAAGGATAAGGCATGATCCCTTCCCCTAGACTTCAGCTTGGAACCTCAGCAGCCTCATTCTCCCCATGCAGCCTCATTCTCCGCATGACACATTGTTTGATGCTGGGGTTTTTAGGGTCCCCTTGTCTCTGAGGTGCATTTGGGACTAGGAGTCCTTCTAGTGTCACTTGAGTTGCCTCAGAGAGGACTTGCTCCTTAAAATTGATTTCTAGAAGTTAGGTCTCAGAATGGTCATTTTATGTGAAAAACAGGATGGAAATAGGGGATGGGAAAGGCTAGGAATAGGGGGACAGAAAAAAAGGGAATAGGAAAAAAACCCAGACTGTATTGGAGCACAAACAGACTACAAAGCTGTTCACACTTCATTGCAATGCTGTTATCTTAATGTCTGAGGTGTTGTTCTCAGTAGGGGATGAGGAGCAGGAAGAAAAGCTTAAATTTCTGATCTGGTGGAGCCATACAGGTGGCATAAAAATCCCTCAGGGTGAGATGTGATGGCAGGAAAAAAAGCCAGGAGATACAGGCTTTCTGTTTTAAATGTTATCTGGATATGGAGGCACTCAAAATTGCAAGATTGTGGATTGGGCATCAGAGGCAGCTGAGGCTTGGGAGAGGCTGAGCAGGGCCATTTGGTGGTGGTTGGGTTGGGAGGGGGTTTAGGAAGCAGCTTGGGATGCCTGGCCCCAAGGGAAGAAAATCTGGTTTCTTAGAAAGGAGGAGAAGGTACTTTAAAAGGCACCACTCTTAGAAATGGGAGCAGCCAAGGGCGGGAGTGGGGTTGACATGCAATGGATTTGCAAGAAGAGAAGAGGTTGTCCTGCTAAATTGGTTGAAAGCAAGTGTGGCCTCACTCGAAGTCCTGGCCACACCTGGGGCTGGTTTTCATCAGGCAGCTTTTCCCCTTCTCCTGAATGTGGTGAGCACCCCAGACCCCACCAGCAATGCCTTTATGTGGTGCAAGGGCTCTCCCTGCCCAGGACTTGTCTCATCCAAGGTTGACAAATCCCAAGTGATGGATGCCATGGTTGGCGTCCTCCTGTGAGCAGGAGTCACACTTACAAGTGTCCATCCAGCTTTGGGTCGAGGTGTCAACCCCCAGTTTGAACTCTGCTCAGCACACAGGTCCAGCTGGCCTAGCCTGGTTGTAGCTGACTTTCGAGTTGCCTGGATCTTTATATAAAACAGCTATTATAAAGAAAGCTGATAAAGCACATTAGTACCCAGAAATCTGTCTGGTTTTTTCCAGCTGGTCTTATAAATGACACCAATTCCCTCCCAGAGCGTGTGTGGGCTTCTCACTCCTCTGGCAGTGACATTCAGAAGGGGACATGTCTTGGACCAGTGAAACACCTTTTGTTCCTCATGCTGATGTCCGGCCCTGCTATAAATAACCCCTGTCCCTGCTTCCTTCGCGTCACCTTTCCTCGGGAAATGCTGTCACTGCGTTGTGGAGGAGCACAGCTCACTTACCCTGAGGTCTCTGTCATGCACCTTTCCCTCCCCTGGGGAGAAGCAACCCTATGGACATGCAGCCATAGCTCACTCCTTGCATATGTGCTGTTTTTACCTTCCACAAGTCATTTCTTCCCAAAGAAGCTGTGGATGCCGCAGCCCTGGAAGTGTTCCAGGCCAGCTTGGATGGAGCCCCTGAGTAACCTAGTCTGGTGGAAGGTGTCCCTGCTTAGGGCAGGGGATGGAACTGGATGGTCTTAAGGGTCCCTTCCAACCCAACCCAAACCAATCTGGGATTCTGTGATTTTTCCCTGGATGCATACCTCGTTTGTTGCATAAGACAGGGATGAAGAGGGAATTAGGTGTCATTTAAAAAACCTGGATGCATTTTCCATGACAGCAATCAACATCAGAGCCCCATCTGATGGAGGGTTTGGTTGCACAGGGCATTGTAAAAGCTTACAGGAGGTGGTGAGGTCCTTGCTGCAAAGAGCTTATAATCAGGGCAGGAAACGAGGGAGAGGTGCTGCCCTCCCCACCTCTCCTGGCAGAAATCCCACACCTGGTGTGTTCTCTGTTGGCTTAGAGTCACGAGGTCTGACTGCCATCTCCTGATGAGGGTGATGGAGGGCATCACCACTTTCTGGGACCATGAAAGGAGAGCGGCAGGGGCAAGTTTTTTCATACATGTCCAAAGGCACCAAAAGCCACTTGGTTTGACCTCCCATAGGCAACCACCTCTAGGGAAGGAAGGAGTTTTCCTGGGTGGTGGTAGGACCTCTCCTGCAAGAAGAAAAGTAACCTGGGATATGGGGCACAACAGACCCATTTCTCAGGTCCTCTCCTCTGACCTTTCCCAGCCCAATGCCTTCCTGCTAGCAGACCACACAAGCTGTACTGAGATGTGGTCTCCTTGGGCCACTTAGGGCTTAGTTTGGCTCCTTGTTGTTCAAAAAGTTCCCAAAGCCACCATTTCTTAAGTATCCATTGAAGCATTGCAAGTCAACTTTGTGTTGTACAGGGTTCCTTCAGTTCCTATGACATCCTGGTATGATGTGTTTTGGGATGGAGGGTCCAGCTGGGTGAATCCTTTGGCCTGGAAATGCACAAACAGAGGCTTGCACCAGCCTTATAGGAATGATAAAAAACATTGCTCAATTTAGATAGGATTTACAGGGAATACATGGAGTTGCAACAGGTTAAGACAGGTGAGTTTGTACCTACATCTTGGTCTTCTGACTGAAGGTAGTGAAATGGTTCTGTGTCACCTGAGAAAGGGAGACAGTTTTTCTGAGGACCAGGAAAAGGTTGCTAGGGAAGTCCTAAAGAGTTTGTGCCATCATAATCACATCTTGTGGGACTCAAAAGTCAAATCAGGCTGAATACCTTATGAAAAGGAGATCCTCAGGTGTGCATACATACTGGCTGCTACCTCACAGGGCTCTTGGTGGTTCTTGTCTATGGACAAGGACAGGAGAGGATGGCAGAGGGAAGCACAGGGTCTGTGAAAGGATGGAGTAAAAGCCTAAGAGTTAATCAATTCCCTCTCTACAAAAGGTATCTGAATTTCTCTTTTCAGTAAAAGAAGTGGGAGTCCCTTGCACTTCTTCTGTGTAGCTGGTGTGTCTGCAGGCTTTGAGGTGATTAAAGCCAATGAGGGGTTGC